TAATAACTTTATATTTCGTTAGTTTGAAGATATTTCGAGTTGAAAATAAATCACATTCTATAATTATGTTGACAAGACGCTATTCTGTTTGAATTAGAGTTATAATTTGAATTATAATTTTAAATGTAATAATGTAGACTAATGGCATAAATATTATTATGAAGTTAATTGAAGTTTTGAGGCATTTTAAAATGCTTGTTCTCCAGAAACGCATACAACATTTGCACGACTTGTGCATGGGGGTGCTGCGGTGCGCGACTGCCCCTCTGAATAAGTGAAACATTTTACAAATACTACCAAAAGGATCAAAGAACTAAAAATTATTAAAGATTTACAAGTTGTTTCAACACTGAGCCAGTTTTTCAGTTCTTATTCCAAAAATGTTTGTTTGGTCTACAACACTCAAACTGAGCTTTCATGTAAAAAAATGGAAAATTTTTCATAAATCTTACAAGTACTACCAAAAAGTAAAAAGGAACTAAAAGTTAAAGATTTTTACGGTAGTTTCAAATCAGAACCACTTTTTCAGTTCTGGTCTCAAAAGTGTGTTTCATTCGCTCTACTCAACACAAAATAAGTTTTCATGGGGAAAAAGTAAGATATTTTTTTAAATCTTACAAACACTACCAAAACGTATCAAGAAACTAAAAGTTATCAAAGATTTTTCAAGGCTATTTCAAATCAGAGGCTGTTTTTCATTTCTTGTTTCAAAAGTGGGCTTCATTGGCTCTACTCAACACAAAAAAAGTTTTCATGCAGAAAAAGCAAGACTTTTTCCAAAATCTTACAAATACGAACAAAAAGTATCAAGAAACAAAAAGTAAAAAAGTATGTTTACGTTTTTTGAAATCAGAGGCTGTTTTTCAGTTCTTGTCTCAAAAGTGGGCTTCGTTCGCTCTGTAGAAAACAAAATTAGTTTTCATGTTGAAAAATAGGATTTTTTTTCATAAATCTTTCGAATACTACTGAAATGTAATATGGAATTTAAAGTTATCAAAGATTTTAAAGTTCTTTCAAATTAGAGCCAGTACATCAGTTCTTATAACAAAAGTCTGCTTCCTTTGGTCTACAACAACTGTGTTTTCATGTAAAAAAGAAAAAAGAATTTTTTTCAAAAATCTTACAAGTACTACCAAAATGTTTCAAGGAACTAAAAGTTTACAAAGATTTTCAAGGTTTCAAATCAGAAACACTTTTTCTGTTCTGGTCTCAAAAGTGTGCTTAATTCGCTCTACTCAACACAAAATAAGTTTTGATGGGGAAAAAGTAAGATTTTTTTTAATTTATAAATACTAACAAAAAGTATCCAGAAACTAAAAGTTAACAAAGATGTTTAAGTTTTTTTTTTTTTCAAATCAGAAGCTGTTTTTCATTTCTTGTCTCAAAAGCGGGCTTTGTTCGCTCTATAGAACACAAAATTAGTTATCCTGTTGAAAAATAGGATTTTTTCACAAATCTTATAAATACTACTGAAATGTATTAAGGGATTTAAAGTTACATCAAGATGGGCAACAGTCGTATTGCACAGCTTAAAGATTATGTTGATGACGATGAGTTAACTCCCAGAGTTGTGTTGGACAATAGTTTAAATAAACACGGAGAGACTTTTATTAATTTCCTCAAAGACTCTAAATGTTGTGTCCTAAATGGAAGAATAAATCCTGAAAATGATAATTTTACTTCCATTTCAGTCAGGGGTAGTGCTGTGGTCGATTATATTATAACCCCACACACGGATTTAGAAACATGTGTAGAATTTAAAGTTTTTACTCCTTTTGATTTGGTAGAAAGGAATGATCAAGATGTGGTAAATATGATTGATGATGGGTGTAGGCTGCCTGATCACTCTGTACTTTATTTACGTTTCCAGTCAGAAAAGTTATTCTTTAGGAAAAATTCAGACATTGAACCTCAGTTTAAAAGACCAATAAGAATTTTGCCTGATGATTTTCTTGCTTCAGATGCTTGTTATATTTCTCTCTGTAACATTGTGGATCAACTAGAGAAA